AATAAATAAAGGAGTAAATGGGGACCGAGATTGGGACCGGATAATTGAACTTGTTTCACTTTCTTCGTTTTTATCATTATCAGTATAATTTTTATCAATATTTTCATTGTCACAATCGTCGTCAGCTTCTATATTTCATAATTAACTTTATCGCCTACATTATTGTCATTATTTTGTAAATATAAAAAACATTTATAAATATATGTAAATAGTTATAATATTATATTGAAAATTTAAATTAAATGTACCTTTTGGGTACCGGGTGGTACTATTAGCTTCGCAATATTAATTCGTTGTTGTTCATTCTGTGTGCGATATAAAAGAATTCTTTTTTTTTTTGTTTTTTTTTTTTTTTTTTTAGTATCGGTATGTTTAAAAGAAAGATATTTGAGTTATTAATTAATTTGGCATCATTATATAAAAGTTTAATTACATACGAGCTAATTATTATTACTTAAATCCGTATTTATTAACCGCTTAGTTGGGGCACTCCGATTAGTGAACATGGAAAAAATCAATACCGGTACTAACGCCAAAAGCGGCGACATTGTCGATATCGATAGCTACAGTACGTACGTACTGTATCGGTATGCACCAGGTACGTACGTACAGAAGCGTTTTACAATCAATGAGCATAATATCATTAAAGACGCACGCGTGACCACTCTTATCATTATGTCCAATCATCATCTGACATGACCCCTATTGCATATCAAGTAGCTCATTAACGTTAACGTGTTTCTTCATCCGAACGACTTCTCATCAACGTTTCTTAAAATTCTGTCGTTGCGAAGTCATTAAAGTTATTTTCATTAATAATATTAATACTAAAACTAGGTATATATTGCATAAATTATATCCCTTTTTATACTTTTTTATTTTATTTTTTATTAACAAAAGACTTCTTTGGAATTTCGCATTAGCATTGTTGAGAAAACATCCTTCTTTAGTCGATTCGTTTTTTTTATTGTTTTAATACAATATAACGTCTTCGTACCTTCCAGAATAGACAATACCATGATCTCTACCACAATTTTCTTTCCATGACTGCCAGCACACGGTCTATAAACGACAAGAGCCCTACTAGAAGTAGCAAATTTTTTGCTGGGTCTCAAAGTTCTGATGAAAATTCTTCTGACGATGCATCTAAAAGAAAGGATGAAACTACTGAAGAAGAATATAGTGAAGATGAAATTTTATTAAGCTCTAGAGGATTTATTGAAACTCCTGGTTCTTTAGATGATTCTTCTTTGAAAGTTGGGTCTCTTGTGTTTAATGAAATCGATGAATTCGATGGTAACTCCTTTATTAAATATATAATATTCTATTTATATATATATACTATTTATATATATATTTTCAATTCTGTTTTAATCTTTCTTTTTTCTTGTAGACACTGATCAACCTTTGGATGTCAACGCGTCTTTTCTAAATCCTCTACAAGTTACTACACGTCATAGTTCTCATGATTATGATAGTATATTGGAAAGTAAACGACGTCAAGGTATGTTATTATAAAAAATTTCATCCTCTTTTTTTTTTCTTTATTTTATTACCCAAGTTCTAATTGATCTAATTATTTTAATTCTTCTACTTACCTATTAACCTATTATCTTTACGTTTAGGACGTTTGCTATTGGTCTCTCTTCTTGAAAACTTTTGTCTATTATATGATACTAATCCTGATGGAAGTCGTAAATTGTTTTACGTCATTTGTAAAATGTTGAGTGCTATGGGAATTATCGAGGAAGAGGTTAGTAATAATAGCTCATAAGGCGCTGTAAAACTCATATCAATGAATCAACTCCTAAATACTTTCGTAGAATTCTTAAAAATTTAACGCGTCTCAAAAATTTATGAAGTACATCGATGAAATGTCCACCGTTCGATCTTCGTATCAATGTGCATTCAAAGCCTTGGTCGTTCAAGCATTGAATTCCATTAAACAAGAACAAATATTGATGGAATCTCACATGATTATGCCTCCGACTTCGGTATCTGGTATTCCTGAAAACGGAAAATCTTCTCCTGTAAATCATGACGAGATTAAGTATGTTATAATAATTTTTTTATTATTTAAATACTATTTATTCCCCGCGAAGCGAGGAATAAATGCATTATTCTCCCACTTTATTAATTGACGGCCGGAGGCTATTTCCCTACTGAGTTTATAAATAAATCATTGCAAAAATAACACGTAAATCCCCATAAAAAACAATTAATAAAGTGGGAATAAATACATATATTTTTTTATTTTGCCCTTATAATTTATTTTACTCTTATAGTTTGTTATATATATATATTTTTTTTATTCGATATTTTCTAATATTTTTTTTTTATTTCAACATTATCTAATATTTTTTATTTCAACATTTTTAATATTTTTTTATTTCAACATTTTCTAATATTTT